TGTAGAATAGAGTAACCTATATTAAGCACGTAAAACAAACAAACTGTTGGAAGATCAGTACACAACCCGGTCGAGGATTGTAGATAAGAACGTCAGGCACTTACTTTTTATATTATCTGGCGGGGAATTAACCCATATGGGCGACAGTCCCTCTTAGAATAGGCAGTTGCACCATTCCCCCTCAATTGACTTGCGTCGTCGCGAGTGCATGTGCACTGCTCAGCAGGCCGTCAACCAGATAATCAGAGCTAACGTTGGCGCGGATTCCGCGGCGGGAGACTTCTTGACCGAGTCGATTAAGTTTGATTGGGTTGATTAAAGAAGACCCGCCTGTTGAATAGGATAACCCTAGCCGTTTCTTACTCTCAGTTTAAGCTCCCCTATTAGACGGACAAAATGATTGAAACGGACAATACCAATTAAATGTTGCAATGCGTCGATTCCGCCAATCAAATTTGAGAGCGTTTCGCCCCAAAACGGGCAATTTTCTATACAACAGCTCGAAATGATGTTGGACAAAGGTTGGCACACTTTTTTTTACTTGAATTAGATATTAAACATTGATGTTGTCAACACATTTTTAAGCTAAACTCAATCAAACGGTAGCATTTGTCAACTGGCCATGGGCATGAAGCCCCAACTGACGTGGGCAGATTGCTCGTTTCAAGACCGGAAACTTTATGATCCCCACAGTCAACGCGCTGCCAACGCCCGACGAGGCAGATGAGGATGGCGCAGAACAGTCTTTGCCTGCTACGTAGCTTACAACTCAACATCTGCACGACCCCAATCAAGGTGATATGGCGCGGGTGGGGTCTACACATGAAACGTCTGGCGACGACCCGGGTCAACAAAATAACCCGGTGCTAGCAAAACCTACTAAGATGCATGTTTATTTCAATAAAATTTTGTAGGTGTAATATGTAGCCATTCATGTGCATCCACCAAGTCGTCTATTAAACCTCACAAGTTTGCTGTTTCCGTCGGCTGTATGACCGCGTTACTCGTACTGGTATTGTGAGCGGTTGCTGGAGCCTGTGGCGGGACTAAATCACCGGTGGGAATTGCTGCTTGACCCGACATGTCTGCTGCATCTGATGGTGTAGCGTATGTGGTTCTTAATCTTTTGTCCCCAGGTCGAAAGCCTACCAGTAGATGGGTACAAGCCTACTAGTAGGCTTGCATAGATTAGCTTTTATATGAAACTTTGTATTACCCTGCAAATGGTTGTGTAAAAAAAAAACTCAAATTGAAGGCAAAGCTACATGTTCACTGAAGCACGGGCGTTGGGATCTTGGGCTACAAACACCAACAAATGACTGCAATGGGATATCCGAGCAACCAGCACAGCAGTACGAGCACTTCTTGTGGCATCAACTACATTGTCGCTGCACACGTTTACCTGTCGTTCGTGCTTCAGCATATTGTGGGAGATCGCGGAACGCCTTCAGTGTGTGAGCCGTCTGATGAACACAATGCACACCAATGTCAGTGAAATACAGTAAATAGCGCTGGTACAATTAGTTACCTCTTCATTTCCATCGGATCTGGTGTTAGATCGTAGCGACCGCTTCATTGTGTGCTCGTTGAAAACGAGCTGATGCGCGAGTTGTGACACAAAGTCGTTGAAATTCAACACTGTCTTATCAAAAA